AAAAAAAAAGTAGAAACACTGGTTTCACACATAGCGGGAATGTAAGAGGTCAGGGAAAAAATTGTAATAAAGTAAAAATGAAAATCAAGAAACTATAAACCTCAGACATTCTACAGGGGCAAAGAGGGGAACAGGATCAAAACTGGGGTGCAAAGAGCGCACAGGACTATGGTGATGGCACTTGGGTAAAGAGGTGGTGGGAAGTCCACAGAGACTGTAACCAAAATGAAAAAAATGTACAAAATGAAGAATGATGTAAAATATATATATATATATAATTTTTAAAAAGTAATGACCACATATTACTTAGAAAAATAGAACTATTTAGCATAATATGCTCTAACTATACAACAGAAATTGTCTTGGAAGGTTAAAAAAATAGATAAACTATTATTATCCCCATTGTGAGATTAACAGGTTGAAAAATGAAGCAGAGAGTGGTGAAATGCCTCAGTCACCCGGGGTCTCAGGCTTCCTGGGAACCATCCAGGATTCACACCCAGGCAGTTTGGCTCCTGGAGCAACATGCATGTGTAGGAGAGAAAGAGCGCAGCCCTAGAAATGTATAGGATCTGCACATTAAAATGCTCTTTTCGGTTAGTCAAGCTTTTAATCATGAAACCACAGCAGTTTCCAGAGAAGCTCCCAACCAGAAGGTAGAAAATTTTACCCAACATAGTTTCCAGAATTAAAGAACAGAAAGCTGTATCAGCAACTGAGAAGTACAATCATCCTAGAGAGGTCTACTCCATCATCCTTTCCTTCCAAAGAAAGGCTTTCAAAGTAGCTCTCCACCAGTGGAGATGGTTCATTAGTAGAAATTGATTTCTCCATCCCCGTGACACTCTGCCCCCGGCAGGCTATTGTGGTAGACCTTTGTTTTCGTGGTGACAGTAATGGTTGTGCCTTCTTCCATGACTGGGAGCGGAAAGACATGATCAGATTCGACCTTCAGTTTGCCCTTGACGCAGTCTTCACAGGTACAGTCCTCTACTGTGTACTCCAGGCCACTGGAAAGGATGTCAATAGCAGACCTGCCAGGCTCCTGCTCAGCAGCCTGAGGCTCCTGGCCAGCTGGTCCTGCTGGAACAGAAACATTAATCTACACTGCTCAGGGGGTAGTTAACCATTCATATCAGGACTCAGTGCTGGAAAGATCTACAAAGCAAGTAACTCTGCCTCACACTGACACAGATCACAGGCCACATGGGTATCAAAGGCATAGTGCTCTTAACTGCCTGCTTATTTATTTCATGTTGTTCTTTATTTAAAAAGCAAGAGATTGGGGCCCTCCTGGTGGCACAAGGGGTTAAGTCTCAACACTAAAAAGCTGTGAGCAGCCACAGAGGCCACGGAGCTGAACCACATGGCACAGCAGACCTCATCTGTCTCCCCTGCTGCTCCCCTCAGCAGTGTATCTCAGTAGATCTGTCTGTTCTGCTCCCCACTTTGTCTTTGGGGAATCTTCTCACCTTCCACACCTCTGTCCTGTACCTCAGGTCTTGTGTGCATAAATAAATAGAGCTTTAAAAATCAAAAGATTTTACATGCAAATCTAGAGAACCAGCCTCTTAAACTCCACAAAATGTGACAACTGGGACATTCATTCCTACATAGAAACGGTGTCCTGGGGTTGGTGACCCTGGCTGGTGTCTCTGTAGGCAAGGGCATGGGCCCTCTGGTTGCTGACGCCTTCACCTGGCCACTGCAATCATCTGCTGTCCATGTGTACCTTGGAGGTATTGAGGCATTAGCTCTATGCTACAAGCATCAAATGACATACTGAAATCAGCCTGTAGGTGACACTTTAGAACCCAGAAAGAAACAGGTTTCTATGGCAGAGCTTTTTGCAGCAGGTTAAATATTTTAATATGAATCTCTTGGAGATGAGTCTCCATTATATCGCATCTATACACACCCACACACATACATATATATGTCTATGTATCTATCTACATGAAGCTAAGTTTTACTACTTCCCAGGCTCTTAACCAAAACATCTCAAACTCCCTCCCAAACTGTCCATCAGACCCCAAGAAAAAAAAAATTATGACTGAGTTATATAGGATAGCCAAAAGGCAAATGAGGTGGATGCTTTGTGGGTTGTGAGTTGAAAAATAAATAGATAAAAAAGAGCACAATGACTGCTAAGTGCTGGGAGAGCAGCTCCTGGGCCAAGTGCTGCAGAAATATTTTGCTGTCAAGAAACTCTAAGTATAGCGATCACTTCTAAGCCTGATTCTCTACTGCTTAATAAAGACTATTTTTTAAGAGGATTCTTCAAACAATCCAGGAGCAAGGTTATTCATTTCTAATGTTTTAAAGTAACACGTTCACCTGAGCAAACAGCATTTGCGTTAAAAGCATGGCCTCTGATCTTGCCAAATAAATACACTTTTCCTGAGAGAAGCAGACCTGGCTAGCAACGTCTGATAGCTTGACATTTAATCAGTGAGCTAACTTTAGAGAAGTGGATGCTCCCCCCAGGAAACCTCAGAACTGCAAAAGAGTAATTATCAGGTGAAGAATGTGGGGGAAGGCTGTGCCAGCACCAGAGAAAACAGCTGGGTCCACTAGAAAGTTCACAGTATAACATAGTGAATCGTTATGTTGTGTAGGTGAGATTAAGAAAGTGCTTTATATCAATTATAGCGCCACAAATAAATAACTATCCTCTAACAAACTCAAAAGGACTCTAACCAGGGCCTCCCTGGTGGCACAGGGGTTAAGTCTTAGCACTATCAGCTATTAGCAGCCACTGCAGCACAAGTTCTATCCCCAGCCAGGGAGCTGACCCATGTGGTGCAGCGGACCTCTCCTGTCTTGCCTGCTGCTCCCCTCAGCAGTGGATTTCAGCCCATCTGCCTGTTCTGCTCCCCACTCTGTTTCTGGTGAATCCTCTTACACCACGCATCTCTGGCCTAAACCTCACTTTTTATGTGCATAAATAAGTAAAAAAAAATTTATAATAGTTTATTTTTCCATCATTTGTGCCTTTTTCCATCTCAGTTGCAATCCCCGTGGGCTTCCCATCACCAAGCCACCCATGTGCCATCACCATGGTCCAGGGCCCTTCCCTCTCCCCACCGTTTTTGGTCCCATTCCCCATTCCACCACCGTAAAATATCTCTGATATATAGTTCATTATTATTATTAAAATAAATGAAAATTTTAAAAAGAACTCTAACCAAATGAAATATTCAACAAGAAAAGGAAATGAAACTTGCCATAACCACCTCTTGAAAACAGATTTCAAAGACTGACCTTCAACCCACCTATGTTTTTGAAGTCCTTCTTTAATGGTGCAGATTTCATCTTCTTCAGTAAAAGCATCAGCACAAAAATTGTCAAAGAAAATGTCAAGCTCAGGCCCAAACAGGTCCAGAGAATGGCATTTGTTCCTTTCACTGAATTGAAAGAATATCAGAGAGAGAATAAGCGGATAACATCCCCATGTGAGTATACACTATTTGCTCTTGAATCCTCTAATTCATCAGCATTAACTTTTCAGTTCTAAACATTTAATTAGAAGAGTTGATAAAAATCTGTTGCTAACAGTGCTGAATAAAATTGAGTTTGGTCCTGAATAGGAATAATTACTTCGTTCCTATCGGCATTCAGATAATTGCCTTGTTCCTTTACTTTTTTGAATTTGGGGAAATCTCACCATCTTCCCTGTAGCGTTGATTTGCTGAATAAATCAACAGCGGCTCCGGTGAGAACACTGCACAGTAGTGAGTAATTGCTCCAGCCCCTTTACTTACTTGCATCACAATGACGCTGGCATGTCAGAGGAGGGATGCTGGAGCATCTAAGGTGACACGGTTTGCAAGCACTAAGCAAACTGTCAAAATATTCATTTTGGAAGCACTGCTGAGCCATCTGGAACTTGATCTGGAAGAAAAAAAAAACAAGGAAGCCACAGAAAGGGCAGCATGGAAGGGCAAGGAAAATCACAGGAATTCCCCAGCAGCTGTCTTGAAAGCAGTCAGAATGTCGAAGACAAAGAAGAAATTCAGTCAATGACTTGGTTCTCTCGGGGGGCTGGGGGAAAGGAGGGATGCTTGTGCCCTGGATAAGGATTTGAATACCAACATCAATCCAGTTTCTATGTTTGAAGCCTGGGTGGGGTTCAGAGTATGTAAATATCAAGGGCAAACCATACCTGAAACAGAAACTGTTTATTTATAGAAGAAATTTCTCAACCAGGTGACAGTTGCAAGATGTAGATACCTATGGCATCAGGCAGAAGGTTCAGGAACCATTTGGGGAACATCTGTTTCTCAGCCCTGTTGTGTGGTGGATTGCTCAGGGAGATGAACAAGACAAGGTCTATAACCCGTAAACATTTAAAATCTAACAGAGGAGACAGCAAGGAACCCCAAGAGAGAGGTGTGTATAGCAGTCTTAGCACCTGCAAGAATTTCAGTACTACTGACAAGAGTTAGGGAACTCTAGGACAAAAATTGGTGAGAAGGGCAAGATAGGTTTGGAGTCGTTATTTGCATTTTGTTACAATTGTTGCTATTAAAGTAATTCATGTTTCATTGTTAAAAATGTAGAGAACACAGATGAGCTGCTACAATGTGTCCACTCCCAGCAAGCAGAAATAATCAGTTATCATTTTAGTGTCTCACAGAGGTTGCAAACTTGTCTGATCGTATGTTCTCTTAGTCAACCGGGATAGGTATCTTTCTGGAAGGATATCAATGGAAGATATCCTTAAGCTGACAGATAGGAGGATGGGTGGTTAGATGGACAGGTAAGTAGGTAGGTAGGTAGACTGATTGATATGGCTCCCTTTCCTGTTGAAAACAACAGAATCACTTCCACTTGCCTTTAAGCATGCGGACTGAGTGAGCTACCCTATAGAGCTACCCACTGACACCACTCAGAAACGCAGGTCTCAACTAAAACGCAAGGAAAGCCAAACTCCAAACTCAGCACAGGGATCATCTTGGATTAAACTGAATGGTAGGCACATTGGTGTTTGCTGTGTCATTCTTTTACATTTTTTGGTTATTCTTTATACCTTTTCATATGTCTTGAATAGTATATGCTATTAAAATTGTGATAATGGGGGCCCTCCCTGGTGGAGCAAAGGGTTAAAGCTCACACTAGGAAGCTATCCACAGCACCAAGTTTGATCCCGAGCCAGGGAGTGACCCACATGGCGCGGCAGACCTCTCCTGTCTCCCCCGCTGCTCCCCTCAGCAGTGTACTTCAGTAGATCTGCTGTTCTGCTCCCCACTTTTCCTCTGGTGAATCCTCTCACTCCCACACACACCTCTGGCCTGTACCCCAGTTCTTGTGTGCATAAATAAAATCTTTTTAAAAAATAAATAAAAGTGTGATAATAAAATTAATTTAAAACAATACTTTTTAAGTTATTTATTTTTAGTTATTTATGCATACAGAACTGGGGTACAGGCCAGAGATGTGGAGGGTGAGAGGTTTCACCAGAGACAGAGCAGGGGGCAAAACAGGCAGATGGATGAAGTACACTGCTGAGGGGAGCAGCGGGCAGGTCAGGAGAGGTCTGCCGCACCATGAGGGTCACCTCCGGGGCAGGCGGGAATCAAACTTATTCAGAAGTGGCTTTAGCTTCTTAGTGCTGTGCTTTAACCCACTGTGCCACCAGGGAGGGCCCCAATACTTTATTTTTTTAATGAAGAGCTTGAGTCTGGAAGAAGTTTGGACTTAGGTGTGATCAAAACTCACGATCCTATGGGATCTAAGCAGTGAGGTCACAGGGTGCGCCTGGCGGCAAGGAGAAGTGAAAGGAGTCACCCGGAAGGCCCCACTCCCTCCAGGTCCTGCCAATGGTGACCGGTGCAAGACAGACCAGGACACAGGCAAAGCGTGAGTAGAGAAGGATGAGGACCAAGTGGCCCTGTATCATCGTCTCCTATAACAGCCAGGTAAGGAGAGACTCGGGATGGGGTAGGGGTAGGGTCAATCCTGCAGAAACAAGGAGGATCCTCAGTGGCCTCCGAGTGTGTGGACTTCTCTGTGAAAGAAGTCACATTGCAGTGGGTCTTTTTTTTTTTTTTTCAAGATTTATTTATTTATTTGTTCATACAGAACTGAGGTACCAGCCAGAGGTGCAGGGACAGTGAGAGGCTTCACCAGAGACAGAGTGGGGAGCAGGACAGGCAGATCGATGACGTACATTGCTGAGGAGAGCAGCGGGTAGGTCAGGAGGGGTCTGCTGTGCCCTGTGGTCACCTCCGGGGCAGGCTGGAATCGAACCCATGCGGAAGTGACTCTAGCTTTTTAGTGCTATGCTTTAACCCACTGTGCCACCAGGGAGGGCCCCAGATTAAAGTGGCTTAAGGGGTGTGGCAACACCTGTCCTAGACAGGGTGGGCCCCAGAACCAGCGCTGAGGGCTTCATCTTGCCTCACCCTGTCGCTCCCCGAGGACACTCTTTCATGGCCATTTCAATCTTGAAAACAGAAGACAAGACTGGACCTGATCCCTGTTGGGGGCAATCCACAGAGGAGTCCCACAAGAGCCGGCTGGGGTTCCCCACAGCGGCTCAGTTTCCTCCCCTTCCCTAGATGTGTTGTTCAGCTTGTTCGTCGGTTGTTCAATTCTCACTCTGGGGGCAATGCTTCCAGTAAAACCCCCTTTGTCTTACGTTACAGAGTCAGTTATGCTTGGTTTCTAGCAAGCCAAAAATAAAAACAAAACCCTTAGCCACATCACCCAATTCTTAACCAGCCCTCTCCTCACACCTGAAATGTCACCACACCCACTGGGGGGGTAAGCCTGCCTTTCCCTGTGTGCCTCAGAATGGGGGTGACTGGTTAATGCTGACATCTTAGGCTTCAGTGGATTCTCCTCTAGGCCTGGCCTGGAGAGGGGAAAGAAGACCAAGAGGAGACAGACAGAAATGTGGAGCATTGTGCAAATGAGGTCGGCAGATGCCCTTCTCATCAGGACTCTTGCCATGAGAAATGACATCAAACCTTAACAGGCCTTTTTCTGGCTTTAAGCTGAGAGGTGCAGCATCAGCTCTAGAGGCTGGGCTGCATGCAGCTCAGAGGGACCTAGCTCCTCTGGGCCACTCGGCTCCGCAAGGTCACCGCCCGGGTCTCGGTTCCATTCTCAGACCTCATACTTGTTTCTTCTCATCTCTCCCTCTAATGATCACATCTGCTCCTGTGGTTTTTTTAAAAAAAAGGATTTATTTATTTATACATACAATAGAGGCCAGAGGTGTGGGGGGTGAGAGGAGTCACCAGTGGCAGAGTGGGGAGCAGAACAGCAGGCTGACAAAGCACACTGCTGAGGGGAGCAGCGGGGAGACAGGAGCAGTCTGCTGAGCCACGTGGGTCACTCCCTGGGATCGAACTTGCGCTGAAGCAACTGTGGCCAGCTTCACTCATTGCATCACCAGGAAGGGCCTGCCCCTGTGGTTTTAAATGT